GTTGTTACGTTGCATATATTTAAATTTATTTATATTTCTCGGCGGCCTGCCTTGGTTCGTTCAGGGACCATTCCAAGTTATGACATTGCCACGCCCTTACAACCGTTCCCTCTGGGACCGTCATGGATGAGTGACAGGTTTCATTGATGATTGACGACCGTCGCTTCCCAAGGGCCGACGGGATCAAAATTGAGATGCTGGGAAACGGACGTACATTTTCGAAGGTTATAGTGGTCGCTGTCAAACTTTTCCCTCCTCCTGGATCCAGGGATTTTTCCATCCATGTTGGCTTAAGTTTTGTTTTTTTGTTTTAGCGTCCCCGAAGAAGCGGCGGGTTAATCCAAGGTTCCCCTTGTAGTTTAATGGTGGCTACCATTTTGTGGAATAAGCCAGGATAATTAACTGTGATTGAAAACTGTGGTTTCATATCCTGGATTGAAAATAATCCTGATTTGGTTGAAAGGAATTGTTAGGGATAACATTGGTTACCTAACTTAGTTTGGCTAAATATAATATATGTTTGTTAGTTTAAATGTGTGTGTCACTTTAAACTGTAAGCCAAGTATTTGGGTGCGGTTGTAAATCGCCCTAAGAGGGAGCAAGAGAGCTCACTGTTCGCCGGCTTTTACTGGAATGCTGACAGAGAAGGATTGATGGTGATTACTGCGTGCGTTTGCTGAGAGAAGAAAAGGTTTGATTTTGCTTCATATCTCTAACTGCAAAAGAGATTCATCACTGGACTGATTGTTTGTGAGTTGAACGACCTATTTTCTACACTGGACTTTGCAAACTGAATAACCCTCGGACTGTCTGAACTTAGTGTATGACATATGGACTGCTTTGACTATGCTATAACTCTTGCTGGAATAAAAACTATTTAATTGCACAGTGTATCTGTCTTACTGATTGTAAAGCTACAACAACGCTTTATCTCACACACACTCTCTGTCTGCTAGACTGCCGTTGCACGTTCTGCTAGGGTGTTGTATCCCTAACACTGGTTATGGGCCCAGGTGCACAGTCAGTCTAACCAGTATAACAGGCTTGTGAGTGAGATTTTGTGTAGCAACACAATATTGTAAACAGAAAGCTGTGTTTTCATTAATATAGTTTTATATCCAGATAATGATGGCAGAAGTCAATATACAAAGTTTGTCTCATATCCAAGTTGGATGGAACAAACTATGTTTCATGGTCCATGAAATGTAGCCTACTTCTACGAAGAGAAGGTTTGTGGGATATAATACAAAACCCACCAGAAGTAGATGCATGGGATCCAGAGGATGAGGAAGATGCCCAGAAGATAAAGGAATATCAAGTGAAGAATGAGCAAGCTCTCTGCATAATAGGACTGACTCTCTCTGACCAACAGCTTGTCCATATACGTGGGGAAGAGACAGCTGCGAAATGTTGGGAGAACCTAAGGAAGATTTATGTTCGGGACAGTGTAGGAGCTCATATAAATCTTACACGGAAACTGTTCAGAACACATCTTCAGAAGGATGGAGACATGCTAAATCATATAAACTCAATGAAGAGAATTTTTCAAGAACTGCATGAAAAGGAACTTATTTTCACTGAACTGCACCAAGTTTATATCATTTTGTCTTCATTAGACCAGAGCTACGATGATTACGTAACTTCGCTTGAAGTATTGCCAAAAGATAGTTTATCTTTAACTGACATTACTGGCAGATTAATTGAAGAAGCCAGGAGACGGCATGAAAGGGATCAACTCAGAAGTGAACCATCACAATGTGAAGAAGAAAAAATATCTCCGTCAGCGTATACAATTAGAAAATGTTTTAATTGTGGAGCAAAAGGACATTTGGCTAGATTCTGCAAGAAAGCAAAAAGCCAAAGAGCCAGCCAGAATGCTAAAAAGCATCAAAAGAATAAAGAAAGCATAGAGTTAGCCATGTATAGCAACGAAACTGTGAATAGTAATTTATGGGTGATAGACAGTGGAGCATCTCACTGCATAACAAACGATAAGAAAAAAATTGTTAAGATGTCCACAAGTTCACAGAAAATATCGTTAGCTAATGGATGGAAACTTAAGGCTAAAGGTGAAGGTATAGCATATTGTAATTGCATAAGAGAAAATGTAAAAATGTTATATGTACCACAACTTAAGTTTAATTTGTTTTCGGTGAGAGTTTTGGTTAAACTAGGTTATGTAATTACCTTTAGGGGAGACAATTGCATAATTGAAAAAGATGATAAGAAAGTGACTGCAACTTTAAGAGGTGAATTGTATGTGTTAAATGATAGTTTAGAGGTGGCTAACACAGTTTATGATAATGTTAAACCTCACAATGAGTGCATACATCTGTTACACAGACGTTTGGGGCATATAAATTTTAAAATGCTTAAACAAACAGTAGAACAATCTAAGGGTATAAAACTGAAACCTTGCAACAAGTATTTGCAATGCAATGTATGTAGTGAAGAGAAAAGCAAGGTGATATCGGCAAATAGAGTAAATGGATTCAAAACCAAGGAGCCTTTAGAGGTAGTATTTGCTGATATCATAGGTCCTAAAAAACCAAGTGTGGGAGGTGCTCGATATATTCTTAGTATAATGGACCATTATTCTAGATATGGTTTCTGTTATCTAATGAAAAGTAAAACTGAAACTTATCAAAATTTCTTTAATTGGCTTAAATTCGCTGAAAGGAAAACTAAAAGGAAGTTAGTTACACTTATTACTGATAACGGTACGGAATTTACAAACAATAAATTCCAAGATAAGCTGAAGTTGGCAGATGTAGAACATAAGAAGTCTGCACCATATAGGCCACAGCATAATGCCTTTATAGAGAGACGAGTCCAAACGTTACAGGCAATGGCTCGTACGATGATCTCAGATTCAGGATTACCTGATAATTTGTGGGGAGAAGCAATAATGTGTGGGAATCATATACTGAATAATGTGGTTAATTCTACTACTGGTGAATTACCATTCACACGGTGGCATGGCAGAAAAGCTGACCTAAGCTACTTGCACACATTTGGTGCACCAGCATGGGTGCATATACCTACTCAACTGAGAAAGAAAAGGCAACATAGGGCAAAAAGATTGATTTTTGTAGGATATGAATCTAACCATAGATCATACAGATTCTGGGAACAAGGTACATCTAGAGTTTACTGTAGCGCTAGTGCACAATTCCTGGAACATGTAGGATGGGAGAAACTGGAACAAGATTCAAGTAAAGAAGTAATTATAGAATCCTACAAAAGGCCAGAGAAAAACAGTAATAAGAAGAGAGCAATTAAAGAGGAAGTAAAGGAAGAGCATATAGGACCAGAACAAGAAGAATTACCAGAACAGGAAGAAGTAGATAATCAGGAGCAGGTAGTACATGAAAGTCCACCTGTAAGCCCTGTAATACCTAGATGTTCTACAGGTGTAACTAGACCACCTGATAGGTATCAAGCCAGTATAGTTTGCCAAGTGAGTAAAGTTCCTACTAGTATAGATGAACTTAGGATGTATCCTGCAAAGGATCAGGAGAATTGGCAAAAGGCAATGGAAAAGGAGTTAAATTCATTAAAGGAAATGAAGGTTTATGAAGAAACCAAATTACCTCCAGGTGAAAAGTCCATTGGTTGCAAATGGATATTTAAGTTAAAAACTGGTAAGAATGGGACTGTTACCCATAAGGCAAAGTTGGTAGCTCAAGGATATAATCAAACGGCATGTGATTATGATGAGGTATTTGCACCAAATTTAAAGGCTACAACTTTAAGAGCAGCGTTAGTGTGGGCAGCTAAGAAGAATTATATAGTTAACCATTTAGATGTGGAAACTGCCTATCTGCATGCACCATTGCAGCACACTATATATTTAAGAAAACCAGTAGATATTAAAGATGGTAAAAATAATAATGACTATTGGAAACTCAATAAAAGTCTCTGGATTGAAACAATCTGGTTATGAATGGAACCAATATATTGTAAAAGAGCTAAACAATATTGGATTTAAGGCAGGTTTAGCTGATCCATGTTTATTTAAAAGAGAGACAAATGGAAGGATATCATTATTGTTGTTTATAGATGATACTGCTTTAATAACTAAGACTAATAATGAAGCTAGTGAGATTATATCATTATTAAGTAAGAGAATAAAATTAAAGCATTTAGGAGAAATCAGACAGTATTTAGGATTGACAATAGACAAAACCAATAGTGGATTTAAGATATCACAAGTAGATAAAATATACCAATTACTCAAAATGTATAAAATGGAACTGTGTAAACCGGCAAAGACTCCAATGAGTCAGGAATTTTGTCGTACTGATGCTCAGAGTTCAAAATTTGATAAGACTATTTATCAGTCATTAATAGGAAGCTTATCATATATAAGTAATTGGTCAAGGCCAGATATTGCATATGGAGTTAATCAACTGGCAAGATTTAGTGCTGAACCAAATGAACGTCACTGGCTAAAGCGTTTATTAAGGTATCTTAAGAAGACAATGAATTATGCATTGTATTTAGAGCCAAAAGATGATTTGATTTTGAGTGCATATGCTGATGCAAGTTTTGCAACAGATATAAAAACAAGAAAATCAACTTCTGGTATGGCTATACTATTAGGTAAAACACTAATTGGTTGGAGGTCTATTAGACAGCAACATATTAGTATGTCCACAATGGAGGCAGAATTTTCATGTTTATCATTACTATGTACTGATATAATTCTGTATAAACAGTTGTTAGATATGGGAGTAACTGTTAAGAATGCCATTGTTGTGTATGAGGACAAACAAGCAGCCATACGGTTGGCTACAAATATTGCTGTAAAGACTAGATCTAAGCACGCTGACCTTAGATATTTGAATGTTAGACAATCTGTGAAAAATAGTCTGATAAGATTGGAATACTGCATAACTGAAGAAAACATTGCAGATGGATTTACAAAAGCCCAAGGTGCAGTAAGGCACAAGGAGAATTGTGAAAAATATGGGTTGAAATTGTAAATAAAGATATATATTATGATGTTACCCAAAAGGGGAGAATGTTAGGGATAACATTGGTTACCTAACTTAGTTTGGCTAAATATAATATATGTTTGTTAGTTTAAATGTGTGTGTCACTTTAAACTGTAAGCCAAGTATTTGGGTGCGGTTGTAAATCGCCCTAAGAGGGAGCAAGAGAGCTCACTGTTCGCTGGCTTTTACTGGAATGCTGACAGAGAAGGATTGATGGTGATTACTGTGTGCGTTTGCTGAGAGAAGAAAAGAAGGTTTGATTTTGTTTCATATCTCTAACTGCAAAAGAGATTCATCACTGGACTGATTGTTTGTGAGTTGAACGACCTATTTTCTACACTGGACTTTGCAAACTGAATAACCCTCGGACTGTCTGAACTTAGTGTATGACATATGGACTGCTTTGACTATGCTATAACTCTTGCTGGAATAAAAACTAATTGCACAGTGTATCTGTCTTACTGATTGTAAAGCTACAACAACGCTTTATCTCACACACACTCTCTGTCTGCTAGACTGCCGTTGCACGTTCTGCTAGGGTGTTGTATCCCTAACAGGAATAGAATATAATTAGAAACTTTCTGGTTTGAACCATCAGAGAGGAAGAAAGTAAGGAGGGAAGGAAGGAAGGAGGAAGGAAGGAAGGAAGAATAGAAAGGGAAGGGAAAGGAAGGGAAGGGGAAGGGAGGGAAAGAGGAAATAGTGAATTAACTGAAGGAAGGAAGGATGGAAGGAAGAAAAAGAAAGTAGGAAGGAAGGAAAAGAAATGGATTGGAAGGGAAGGGAGGGAGGAAGAAAGGAAGAAAAAGGGAAGGGAAGGGGAGGGAAGAAGGAAATAGTGAATGAATTGAAGGAAGGAAGGAAAGAAATGGATAGCAAGGGGAGGGAGGGAGGGAGGGAGGAAAAAGGGAAGGAAGAAGGAAATAGTGAATGAATTGAAGATGGAAGGAAGGAAAGGAGGAAGGAAGGAAAAGAAATGGATAGGAAGGGAAGAAGGGAGGGAGGGAGGAAAAGGGAAGGGAAGGGGGGGAAGAAGGAAATAGTGAATGAATTGGAAGGAAGGGTGGAAAAGAAAGGAAGGAAGGAAAAGAAATGGATAGAAAGGGAAGAGAGGGAAGAAGGAGGTAATGAATTAATGATGGAAGGAAGGGAAGGAAAGGAGTAAGGAAAAAAGGAAGGAAAGAAAGAAAAAAGAAAGAAAAGGAATGCAGGTTTTAAATTAATTAAGTGAACAGTTTGTAAGTCAAGGATTACCTGCCTTGATAGTCTTTGTTTCCGGGGAAATGGAGGGCAAATAAATTTAATGATGAAATTAAAATAGGGAAGATTCCCATTTCCATATGTAGCTAGTCCTCGACTTACGACCACAATCGAGCACCCCTCAAATTTCTGGGGTCAAAAATCGAGGGCATGTGCCCCATTTTGCGACCTTCCCTGCCACAGTCTTTAAGCGAATCGTGCCATCATTAAGTGAGTCACACGGTGGGTAAGCCAATCCAGCTTCCTGCTTTATCAGAAGGTCGCAAAAGGTGATCATGGGACCGTGCAGGCGTCAATACGAGCTGGTTGCCCAGTGTCCGAATTTTGACGGTCGTAAGTGTGGAGGGGAAAATCCCTTTGGGGGGGGGCGTTGTAACTTTGAGCGGTGACTAAACAAAGCGTCATAAGTCGAGGACTAGTCCCGGGAGGCATGGCATTGTCGTAAGCAGCGGCACACCGGTGGTACCCTCCTAAATTTGTCCTTTCCATTCCTCCCCAAGCAGGCATCGCAACGGGATGCAGCGTCCACCCATCGTCGTCTTCCGCCGACGCCCGCTGATTCTGACCAAATCTTCGACCAGGAGGACCAAGCGGCCGAGATCGCCCTGACCTTGGTGGGTTCCTTCCAAGCCATGGAGAAGAAGGTGGATTTGCACACCAGCCGTCTGCTGGACCTGGAAGGCAGAACCGGGACAGTGGAGAAGAAGGTTCTGGATTGCGAGAAGACGACGGGAGAGATCAGCGGCCGGCTGGAGAGCAAGTGGGCCGCCCTGGGGACCCTCATTCAGGAATACGGCCTGCTGCAACGCCGCTTGGAAAACATGGAGAACCTATTGAAGAACCGCAACTTCTGGATCCTGCGCTTCCCGCCAGGCTCCAAGGGCGAGACCCCAAAAGTAGGTTCAGGCTCATGGGCTCGTTCGTTCCTGTGACTCGAATGCGACGAGATGTTGAATTAGATCGGGAGTTTCCGACAACAGTCTGCAGCTCTGCACTGGTCCACAACCCTGTCCCGATCTGTAACCCTGCCCCAGTCCTAATCCGGTCCGCAGGCTGGTACCGGTCCACAGTCCGGCACTCGTCTGTGGCCCGGCACCGGTGCTCATCCGTGACCCAGTCCACAGCCCTGCCTCGATCCATAACCCTACCTCTGTCTTCGTCCCTATGTTGGTCCACAGCCCAGCGCCAGTCCTCCTCCTGACACCCATCCACAGCCTGGTATCGGTCCTCATCCCTGAATCTGTTCTGACCAAGGCTTCCCCCAAAAGCACTAAGCTGACTCTTTGTCCCGGCAAAACCCCTTTTATTAAATGAAGGTGAATTTCTGGCATTCACATTCAGCCAAAGGCCTGGCCAACAGTCTTTCCAGGGTGTGATTAGGAGCACAGACCTTATCTAGTTTGGAGAGCTGCCATGTAAATATTTCCAAACACAGTGCTGACAAGGAAGGGCTCGGCACAGAGTCTCTGAGATGCACAGACAGATCTTCCCACTGTGGCAAAGAACAAATTGTTTCCTGCAAAAGTCCCCTCCCCTTCTGTTCCTCTTTTAATCCCTATGGGAGGGGCCATTCACTATCCATCTGTGGCCTTACTCCCACATCGACCCTTAGTTCTTAATTGTTCTTTTATTTTGGCAGCTCTGCGCATGTGCACATTGGAAACAGGCTCCAGCTGTTCTTCCCCACTGATCTCCAACTCCGAAGGCAGCTGATAACTGTTGGACGGCCCTGGCCCCATCTCTGCCTCTGACACAGAGCCCTCGTCTGAGTCTTTCTCAGCCTCTAGGACTGGCCCATGTTCCTCCCCAACCTCCTCACTGTCTGACTCTGCTGCCAACTCCGCTAGCTGCTGGTGGGCCACAACAGAATCGATTGTTGTCCCTGCCCTGGTCCAGAGTCTTGCCCCGATCCGTAACCCTGCACCAGTCCTTGTTCCTTCACCGTTCTGCAGGTCCAGCACTGGACCTCGTCCCTGCATCGGTCCACAGCCCAGCACCCATCTGCAGCCCGTCAGGAAGCAGGTCGCCAAAGCGAGCGAAGCCATCGGCACACATTTAGGAACCAAGTGGCCTGTGAAACTATGGTTTCCCCCCGCCTGGTCTGGGGTAAAACCGCCCTCAAGCGAACCGGTGCCCCAAATGTTGGAGTCCCCGGACATAAGAGGGCCTCAAGCAGAGACGGAGGGTCACACGGGATGTGCAAATGTCCCCACCAGAATCAGCCTTGGTCCTCTCGAGGACTTGGCTTCGGCAAGAAGCCAGGCTGCCTCTGTGTGTGTGTGTTTGTGTGTGTTGGACTAATGCAGGGGTCCCCCACCTGTGATCCATAGGCTAATCGCCACTGGGCCATGTGAGGAGGCAGGCGGTGCATGCTCCTCGGCACGCGCACACAACCCCACTTGCGCCAGCGCCATGGTGGGTCCTCACAGATGCACTCATCCGACAGTTGCTGCAAACATCTGAGCGCTTCTGTGTGTGCACGCAGGTGCACATGCACTAGGCCACCCCGCAAAAATCATCTCCCCTTCCCCCACCCCCGGGTCACCAACCTGGAAAGGTTGGGGAACTCTGGATGAATAGACAAGAACCTCTTTTGTCCATTGTGAGGTTTTCTTGCACATTGCGTCACAACCCCAGATAGATGCAGGGTGTTGATTCCTAGAAGCCACAGGTGTCAAACTCACTGCGTCACATTGCCGTCACGTGATGTCGTGATATTTTTTTCCTCTACGGAGCTGGGGTGGACGTGGCCTGCGCATCCGCCAGTTTGACACTGCATCCTGCCTTTGATTTGTCCAAGTGGGATTAGACATCCCAGGAATTTGTCGCCAGTTATAGAAGCGCTTGGCGTACCTGCAAGGCAGTAGAGAAAATACCGTGTTTTCCTCCAAAATGTCTTATATTTTTTGTCACCAAAAAAGGCACCAGGTCTTATTTTGAGGGAATGTCATCGATTGACTAACCTCACTTGCACGCGTCGCTCCCCAGCCTTTTCACTGTCAGGCCTTCAGGAACTGCTACTTCTGCAGCTGGCAAGGCTTTCCTGAAGGCCTCTGCAGCTGATAACTGAGCTCTGGATCGATCCGGAGCTTTGTTATCAGCTACAGAGGCCTTCAAGAAAGCCTTGCCAGCCTTGACGGCTGCAGAAGAAATGGGCCAGCAAGGCAGGTGTCGGGGTGTGCGAGGCCTGGCTACACCTGTCCAAAGGTAAGTAATAGGGCAGCTCCAGACACACCCCATCCCCACCCTAGCTTAATTTTTACCCGTCCATTCTGGAGTGCGTAGGATCTTAATTAGGGCTTATTTTAGGGCTTATTTTAGGGCTTATTTTAGGGGTAGGGCTTACATTGGGCGCACGTGTAAAATTCAAGCTAGGACTTACTTTCAGGGTAGGTCATATTTTCAGGGAAAACGGTAATAACACAGGTAGTCCTAAACTTATGACTGTAATTGAGCTCAGAATTTTCGTTGCTAAGTGAGACAGTGGTTAAGTGAGTTTTTCCCCATTTTACCACCTTCCTTTCCACCGTTGTTAAGCAAATCACCGCAGCTGTTAAATCAGTAACACGGTGGTTAAGCAAATCTGGCTTCCCTGTTGAGTTAGCTCGTCGGAAGGTCGCAAAGCGGGATGACGTGTCCCCAGGACACCACAACAGTTATAAATAAGAGTCGGTTGCCAAGCGTCCAAATTTTGATCATGTGACTATGGGGATGCTTGCAAGGGCCGTCAGCGTGAAAAATGGTCATGGGTCACTTTCGATGCTGTTGTAACTTCGAAGAGTCGCTAAGCAAGTTGTCGTAAATCGAGGACTGCCTGTAGAAGGTTGAGGTTTGCAAAACTGCCAGATCACGTTTGTTGAATTTGTGCCTCCATTTTTGCCACCCTTCTCAGCTCGTTAACCCCCTGAATGTTTTGGTTGTTGGCAAATTGGGGGGGCGTTTCCCACATTTGGAACAAGAAGTTACCGTGTTCCTCCGAAAATAAGACCCGGTCTTATATTTTTGGGGGGCTCCAAAATAAGAACTAGTCTAGGGCTAAGGAAAGAAGGAAGGAAGATGGATGGATGTCGAAGGAAGGAAGGAAGGAGGTAGGTTTTAGTTTTGGCTGTCAGGGATCAATGCTGAGGGTGCCCACTTTGTGGTTCTAGGTGCCGGTGACCTTCGACGACATGTCAGTCTACTTCAACGAGAAGGAATGGGAGAAACTGGAAGAATGGCAGAAGGAACTCTACAAGAACTTGATGAAGGGCAACCACCAGTCCTTGGTCTCTTTGGGTAAGGGGGGCGTCGCTCGTCCTCCAGGTTGGGTGGGCTGCAATTCCCTCCCCCCGCCCCAAGAGTAAAGGAGAAAACTTCCTAACTGTGAGGACGATTAACTGGTGGAACTTCTTGCCACCAGAAGTTGTGGGTTCTTCATCCCTTGAGGTGTTGAAGAAGAGACTGAACAGCCCCCTGTCTCCAATGGTCTGGGGTCTTCTGCTGCTCAAGCAGCGGGGCTGGACTAGACTAGAGGACCTCCAAGCTCCCTTCCAACCTTGTCATTCTATGATGGTCTTCTGGTTGAGCACAGGGTTGGACGAGAAGACCTCCGAGGTCCCTTCCAACTCTTCTCAAGCTGTGATTCTGTAAGGGTCTTCAGCTTGAGCAGTGGGCTGGACCAGATGACCAAGGTTCTTTCCAACATTCTCTGATTCTGTAATGGTCTCCTGGTTGA